GTGCCTCCGGGCCCCGGCCCCCCGCCCGCGGGCAGTTGGTACTGCAATTCAGCCACAGCGAGCCCCCGCGCTCCACAAGCGCCACGCGGGGCTGCAGGTCCGCCCAGAAGGGTTCCTGCGCGACCGCTACCCGGAGAAACGCGGGTCAGCGCTGCTTAGCTGAGATCTTAGCGCCGCTACACCGAGTCGAGGGCGCCTGGGGGGAACTGGCAAAGGCCACAGCCAGAAAACAACCCAGGAGTCCCAAGTCCTGCCCAGGACCAAGCCCAGGCTCCCAGAATCTAAACCTGGAAGGTGTCTCTGGGACATGGTAGCGCAGAGCTCTGGTCTCCAAGGCGCCGGTGGCGCGGTGGGAAAGTATGGGGGGAGGGGGGAACCAGAGGAAAGATGGGGTCTTCCAAGCACACAGCAACGCTTGAAGGAGAGGACCTCGGTTGGGGGATGGGGAACAAACAGGTTCTCAGGGTCCTGGTGGCTCATCGGGAGCGGGGGAGACTGAGGTTGGGGAGCCGGCAAAGAGAGAAGAGCTTGGGTCAAGGATTAAGGAAGACCCCAGACCTGGGCTAAGAACCGGGCAAGGACGCTAGGTGGGGTTCATGGAAGCAGCCGCGGGACCCGGTTGCCAGGGCTCCGGGCGGAGCGGGAACAGCGCTTCTGAGTCACCGCAGTTGGGGAGGTGGGTTCTTCGCGGACCGTGAGTGGGGACGATGCCAGTCCGTGGACCACGGTGCACAGCAGAGCGTGAGAAGGTTCCAGGGAAGGGATAGGAGAGACGCTGGGGTCTCCAGAGCGCGGGGCTGGGTGCAGAAGAGCACCCAGGATCTCCACGGGGGGTAGGGTAGAGACCTGAGCGAGCGAGGTGTCGGGAAGCTGGCTCTCCGGTGCGTGTTAGGGGGAGGAGGATCGGGAAGGCCACGGCTCAAGGTGGGGGCAGAAGCGTGGGAGCCAGGCGAGGGCGGAGCCAGGAGGGCTGGAGGCCGCTTCTCGGGTCCGGGAGCTCCGCCCCCGCCCTGTCCACCCCGAGCCAGGGCAGGCTCTTACCCGAGACGCCGGAGGA